TGTTGCTACCGCCGCAATATTCAGTGTCGTCACCCGCGCAGACCATGCTGCAGTCTGCATCAGCAGTCACGGTACTCCTGGCATCAATGAAATCTCCGCAGTAGCACTCGCGACCATACTCTGTAGCGAAATAAGTGAAACCATTACAGCTTCTTGCACATAGTTCAAGAGTCATGGAGTCGCTTGGGAATGTTCCTGCGGTAAGCGCTCGGTTAGGGAGCTCCTCATAACAACCAATGCGTACATAGGGTGTTACGGTTGATTTGATCACTAGGGTACCGGTGGGAATTGGGATGATGCCCGTGGTAACGTATAACTCAAGCCTATCTCCAGCGCCGCAGTATGCTGATGTATCTCCCGTGCAAACAGTGTCACACTCTGTAAGCTTAACGCTCGAGCTGGATGGATCGACTTTATTACCACAGTAGCATTCACGTCCAAATTCCGTACCCCAGTAATAAAATCCTGAGCAATTACCTAGGCAGCTCTCGAGAGTCATACCATCGTAAACGAAACTGGCTCCAGACAGAGCGCGGGCTCCTGCGGCTGTCGCCTCTGTATTGCAGCCAACTAACGTGTAATTTCCAAGGCTGGTCCTATGGAACGGCGTCTCCGCTGCCACAGATGATGAGATCGTCCCGGAGGAGTTCACAGTCGACGTTATGGTAGCTGACGTTTCCCCCGGCATCCCGGGGTCATCAGCACGCGAACAAAGTTTATTCGGGTAGTCGAATGAGATGCAGGTAGCCCCTAATTCACTTGCTGCCTTGAAATCATCTCGTGAGATTGATTGGCCACTCCCGCTGATCACGTCAATCTTCGTGGCATAATCGAGGTCTCCCAGGTTTTCGTACGTAGCCGTATAGAACGTGTAAAGGCCAGTACAGGTACCCTTTGTCATATTCACCGTAACGTCGTTCAGACTGGGGATCGGGCGATTTGGGTCACCGACTGGAGTCTTGTATGAGAGATGCATACTGACCGGCATTGAGCCACGGTCGTTGCGGACCTGTTTCGGTACATTAGTATCCTGTCGTAATGTCTGATACATTCTGAACTCACAGCTGCCATAACTGTCAATTTGCCTCCAAGAAGGCAGCTTTGGGGCTTTTGCATAAGAATATCGTCTGTCAGAGGGTATGAATTCCCGTTATTGTCGTATACCTTCGATGTCCCACTATTCATATTGACTGTCAAGGTGAAAGAGGAGATGCCTGAGGATACCGGAATGTCAGTGTCAATTGGGAACCACTAGACAAGTGTTAGAAATCATAAATGAACCCCGTAAGGTTTTATGATCGAAACTCACCACAAACGTGTCATCAAAGCCCTCTGTAGCACCTAAGAGGTCTGCAGTATACGTGCAGCCCAGATCACGACAGCTGCCGCCGCTTCTATCCTTGTAAGTTAGCGAGACACTTTTAGCAGCATCGTTTCCGAAGTTATTCGTGCGAACTCGGATGAGGCCTGATAATTGCATGGTTTCTGCTCCCGGGTTCATGGTGAGTTGCATGTCCACTGGTTTAACCGCAAAGGGCTGAATAGGATCAGTAAGGACGACACCATCAGGAATAACCTCAATCAGTTTCCGCAATACAGTAGCACAAATCTTATTGTAAGCTTCAGGATCTGTCATAATTCCGATTGTCACGTTACCGTCCGAGTTGAAGACTTTGAAGTCGGAGTTCCTTGTGGCTCTGATCGAAGGCCCGACAACCAATGGATTCGTTGTGTTGCCCGAAAGATATTCAGTCACGACCTTGTTATCGAATACGTCTACAGTAGAATCTGTAGGCGCTTCCCCATTCGCCGTACTGCCCACCGGGACGATCTGAGGAAACTCGACCTCATGAACTCCGCCAATGCTATGACCGCATGCAACAACTTGGATCATTTCTGCCTGGCTGAAACCCATGCGCGCGAACTGCTGCTGGAACGTGAAGGCTGAGTTCTGGGGAAGAGGGACACCTATTGGACCACCGGCTTTCGCATCGATCCTGCCACCAGCCATTGGAACGGCGGGACCACCGCAAGACCTAACGGCATAGTACACACCCAGGGCAAGAAGATCGGCTACGCCCGATCTACTCGTGTAGTAGTCAGCCATGAATTTAAGCGTCGTGTTGAAGGCCGAACCGATGTTATCTGAGCTTTTCAGTTCGAACTGCAGTGACCCGTCCATACCCCCCAGTCGTACGCCACCGGCAATAGTTGTGGTCGACATATCGTGGAAAGCGGCCCTCAACCAAGCAGCCGCATTATGACGTCCTGGTCCCGCAGCTTCGCTTGAACATGGTATTACTGTCCCGCCGAATTCTCGAGAGCGGTAGCCTTTAACCTGATACATGATCTCTTCCAACTCGTCGATATGCGAAGGCCATGTTGGGTCTGCTCTTGCCAGCGTGGTCACCAAGATAGCTGACAAGAAGTATGTACTCCACCACATGGTGTGGGTTTATCCTACCAGACAGCCAGAAAGCAGGGTCATGAAAAATGTATGAGTTAAAAAACGAACGTATAACCCTACCACACCCAGTCTCGTCCGAAAGAGACAACTATGGACTGCCTGTGATCGCAGGAATATACGATGAGAAATGGAACGGGGAGGAGCTTTGACTCACTTTTAAATATTTGTACATAGTGGCCAGCATGCTGCCCCTTCGTTGATCGTGAACCGCCATTTTCGATATTTTGGGCCGAATTATTGTCAGCTCAAGCAGCTCAGGTCGGCTTTGTTGACCCCTGCTCGGGTGTCGAAGCAATAATATCGGTCTACCACCCAGAGTGGAATACGAGAATCGAGAAATAGATTCAACAAGATTGGATGATTCTAGTCCAGCCGCAGACGAGCGCGACAGTAGATAGTCTAATGCAAGCCCAGACAATGTGGGATGGGGACCAAGACATTAGACCGTTACATTCTGTATCATTAGATATTCCCGATGTACATATACACTCCATCCAGGAGGTGTAGATGTATTACCTATGCAATATTGATAACGTTACTTCGTAAATCTTGACGATCCACCGGCGGAATATCTAGGCTCTAGTGTACTATGTAAGGTTCTCATACTGACCATTCATCAAAACCTGGTTACATACTTTGTTAAAAGATGTATGGAATACATTGGCGATGCGATCACTGTTCTCTTGTAATTGGCATCAGCCTCCGAGACTTACATAGCGCATCACTTCCAGTGCGTACATAGTAGGTAGATGGACTCATTAATACCTGCTAGGTATGAAGAACATCAACCCAATTCTCTGGTCAAGCTTGCAGAGTGAGGCGAAGATGCATGGCATGCATGTAACCGCTAAATGGTTCATGCCGAAAAGAGACTGGACCTCCCATATCCCGGGGGCTTGATCTCGTAGGAGAACAGTGCCTGGTGCGATTGGGCTGATAGACAACCCAGTCAGTCAGATGACGAGAAAACATGTCTGAGCAGTAATTTTCTTTCAGCTTGGTACCTAGGTATAGCATACATACATGCATACCTACACAATAGAAGAGTATTCGTCTCCGTTTTCCGGCCTTGTCGCAGGGTCCGAACTTACAGATCCCTGGAGGCGGAATGCCTTACTTAGGACTGTCGACCAGAGAGGCAATGAGCGATAAGCATGTAGGTAGTGTGTCAAACTACAAAATTGGAATTATATACTTACTTGTAGATAACCTCGTCGCAATGTACATTACATACGTCCGTACTTCGTAGCTAATTGCCTACCTAATTCCTACCAGGTAGGTAGATAATCTGCTGGGATGGAGTTGTGACACACTGGGTAAAAACAGTTCACAGGCTTAGCGAGAGCCTCCATGTTACCAGCTTTATACTAGGTACGGAACAGATCTCTTGATATCAGGCCAACTCCAGTGGCTACCGGTAATACTACTACCTAGGTACGGACCGTACTTCTATTCCGTAGCTCACTCTCTCCTCGAGTGCCGGAAGACTTTGGCAAATCGGTCACTTGCTCCACCATGCCGAAAAGATTAGGTACTCACTTGCACCAACACCCAATTGCTTAAGAAGGCGTGGTTTTTAGAAATCGACATTGATTTTATTGTAGTCTTCGGGCACTTGAGGAGGTAAGTACGGATCCGTACTCTACACTAAGGTAGGGAGGGCACCGGTCTTACTATAATTAAGCAGATATTCCGTACAGTTTAGGTACCGTAACTGGATAGGTACTATCTCCTTGGCTGGGCGAAGGCGACAATTCCGTACTCGCCCCATATCACCAACATTATAACCAGTTAGGTAATCGTCCAAGATGACGATGTACCCGTTGGTAGACTGTTTTATGATTGGTTGAGATCCCTGCCATTGACCGATTTGTCGCCTTAGCACAGCCAAGGAGATAAGTTGGACCGTGATGAAGCTGCTCGCAAGCAAGAAGGTAGGTCTTGACTATAAATTCCAGAAACATAGGTGATAAATGTGAAAACAAGTATCGGGATTCTCAGCATAGATTGACTAAAAGTCTCGCAAGATCATTTATCCAGGAGAGCTAGGTTGAATCTGCCACGCTGACAGCATAATCAGTCACCACACAACAACCGTACAATGTTGATGTACCACTCGTTTTTTAGAAACACCCTGTTATTTCTCTTAATCCATCAATGTCAATCGGGGTCTTCATACTTTGTAATTAACACTCCAATCAAACTGCGGGATGAAAGAGCCTATTAGGGGTTACCCAACTTATTCATTTGCAGATAATACCATCATGGGCTGAATTGGGAATCCATGCTGTTCGGGTCATCCGTAAGGTTGATATACTATCACGTGTTCTTTATTATGATATCAGGTACGTTTTACATTGCTTTGTCTTTTTCCGGCGATTGTTGTTGGTACGGAATAGGTAGGTAGAAGAGTCACTTTTTTTTATAAAAAAAAAGTCATGGGAGAAGAGCAGTCATTAAAGGAAGCAGGTGAGAACAATATAATTTGCATAGGATTCGCATACAATGACAAAAGGTTGATCACCAGGTGTTTCTCCGAATCGGGGAATCGAACCCCGGGCTTGACGGTACCATTGACGTCTAAGTATGACGACGTATGAGAGCGTCAAATGTTAGCCACTACACCAATTCGGATGAAGGAATGATGGCAACGGTTGTCACTCGTAAACATATAAACCCCGATTCACGATCAGCTGATATGCCCTATCTACCTACATGTAGTAATCTTTGTCCATCTTTCGGGACGATACAAAGTTCGGAAACTACCTAAAGCAATTGGTGATTCACCATCTGAAAGCAGTCACATCACCTAGTAAAGGTGTACCTAGTGTAGGTACAATTACATACCTAACCTAATCTACCTGTAGCAGTGAAATCTTCTGCTAGGTGCGCATAGTACATGCCGCCTTTTCTTACAACTACATACCTACCCATTTCAATGTAGATACTCGTACATCGATTATTTACGATAGGCTACCTTAGGTAGGTAGGTAGGTAGGTAGGTACTTAAGTTGTTTTGTATTAAGTAAGTTACCTGGGCGTAAGCGGCGCCGACGTAAGCATGTATCGTAGGTAGGTAGGTACACTACGCTACGTATTGGACGTTTTCCACCTGGATAAACTTCGGAGCAATTGATCGACCAAACAGCCTCGAGCACGCGCCTTTCGGGCGGACCACAGGTACATCACTTTAGGTACGTCCCGTCCGTATATACTTCGTACTTACGTCCGTACTTACAGTACAATCGAGATCCAACCCCACTCTCTGTCATTTAATAAGGCTGACTGACCAGACCAGACAACTTCGACCAACAACCTTCATCCGAAAGAACTAAAGTAGCTGCTTCGATATCAAACAACCCGCCCCGCCTAGGCAGTTATCTACACTTATACCATATCTTTCGAGTCCTTGAAGCCCACTGTTATAGATGTCCATCGAGAATCTCAAGTCCTTCGGTATGTGCATAGTAGCCTTGGCTGGATGACTCTCTTCCCGCCCCGCTAATCCGCGCCCCAGATCCCTTCCATGATGCCGAGGCAGACGAAGACACGAGCCAAGTGAAGAGTCAACAAGAGGATTATGTCCACATTCGAATCCAACGTCAGTGTCCCTGATTAACCATCAACAACTATTCCTTTGACCGACTCGGCTGACCAAGCGTAGAGCGCAACGGCCGCAAGACGTTGACCACCGTTCAGGGATTGCCCAACAAGTTCGACCGAAAGAAAATCCTCACTGTCATCAAGAAGAAGTTTGCGTGCAATGGCACTGTTGTGATGGACAGTAACATGGGCGAAGTCATTCAACTACAGGGTGATCAGCGCAAGGTTATGCGTGCGTGCTCTTTTCTTTCTCTTCTGACACGTCTGGTGGCGACCCAAGCTAACACTGCGCAGAAGAGTTTTTGATCGCAAAGGACGGCTTGGAGCTTGACCACAAGAAAATCAAGGTTCACGGCTTCTAGTTGGAATCTGGCTTACAGCACCAGTGCTGAAGATTTACTCGTTTCCGAGTGGACTTCAACGATAGTTGTTATGGTATGGTCGGATCATGGTCACAAGCAAATAATATAGCAATGAATAGCCCATATGCCTCAATTTGCTGTGAAGATTATCTATTAGGGCACATGGTAGATATTGTTCATAAAACCAATGACAAATCATGGGTCTAAATGTCCCTATATACACCAGACTACCTAGCCCCTCTCCAGAAAGATTATACTAGGTATTTCACGATCATTAGGTATACCTAGCCAACGTACGAAGTATAGACTTCCCATATTTACAATCACAATGTCTTTTATTGCCCTGAAATATTTATTAGAATCTTTACGAGTCAGACGGAATGAGGACCGGGTCCCCTTCCGCCGTGACTGTGAGTTGTTATTAAGCCGGGGCAAAGAAGTAAATGCACAAACGTAGCTAAAATTGAAGCTGCTGTATTGCTTACCAAGTCGTGCCTACATATGCAAACAAGAATGAAGTGGATAAGAACTCGGTAGGTACCTACCTAGGTAGGTACCTAAGTACCTAATACAGAGTGTCTCATTGGCTGCATACTGTACAAACACCAATAATCCCCCACTTGGGCACTGTGCTCGTACGCTGCGAAGTACCTACCTAGCTGATGCGGAGATACGGGCCGATGCCGGCTGCCCTACAAGTGAGCAAACGAATCGATTAGCCCTCCACTCCCACACAAAAATTAATTTGGGGGACCTCAAACCGCGATTTTTGACCTGGGAATTATCATCACCGGAATTTCTCCAGACCATCTACCAACAAGTCGAGGTAAGTCTTCACCCCCCATATCACTGAATTGACTTTCACTTAATCCTCCTGCCCTTTCATTTCTTCGGTTTTCGAATTAACCTTGACTTTTGTTACAGCCCAGCGACTTTCACGATGGCCTCAAGACCGACTGTCACTATCATCGGCAAAGATGGTACTCCTTCGGGAGCTACCCACCCAATCCCCGCCGTCTTCGCCTCTCCTATTCGACCTGATATCGTCCAGCAGGTCCATACCGGCATGGCCAAAAACAAGCGCCAGCCGTATGCTGTGAGCGAGAAGGCTGGTCATCAAACTTCCGCCTCGTCTTGGGGAACTGGTTAGTCGCTCCTATCACCTAGCTTGAATTCTTAAAATTTCCAAATACACATAATTAAATGAGCATTCGCAATGCCACGAAGAACAATTGGGCCTTGCCAAAACAAACCGAAGGCTAGCACCTACGTGCTGACATAGATCCCAGGTCGTGCTGTTGCCCGTATCCCTCGTGTCTCTGGTGGTGGTACTCACCGTGCCGGTCAGGCTGCCTTCGGTAACATGTGCCGTTCCGGTCGCATGTTCGCCCCTACCAAGATCTGGCGCAAGTGGCACATCAAGATCAACCAGGGCCAGAAGTAAGCAAAACTTAAAAAGGACTTCGCGGCTTGCAGATGTAGTGCTAACAAATAGCAGGCGATTCGCTACTGCCTCTGCCCTCGCTGCCTCCGCTGTTGCCCCTCTTCTCCTCGCCCGTGGCCACCAGATCTCCAACGTTCCCGAGGTTCCCCTAGTTGTCGACTCCGTTGTCTTCCAGGGTGGCGCTGCTGCCAAGACTGCGAATGCTTTCTCCATTCTGTCTTCGGTTGGCGCTTCTGCCGATATCTTGAAGGCCAAGAAGTCGAAGAAGCTGCGGGCTGGAAAGGGCAAGCTGCGAGGTCGCCGTCACCGTCAACGACGTGGACCCCTTGTTATCTACGATCCAGAGGTCGATGGTACAGAGCTTGTCAAGGGTTCCCGCAACCTGCCTGGTGTTGAGACTTGCTCTGTCTACGCTCTCAACCTCCTCCAGCTGGCTCCCGGTGGTCACCTCGGCCGATTCATCGTTTGGACCTCAGCTGCTTTCAAGGCCCTGGACAGCATCTATGGCACCACCACCACACCTTCCGACCTCAAGAAGGACTTCCTGCTACCTTCCAACCTCGTCGCCCAAGCCGATCTGAGCCGTCTAATCAACAGCTCCGAAATTCAGAGCGTCCTCCGTGCTCCCAAGGGTAGCTCGTTGACCAAGCGCGCTGGTGTTCAGAAGAATCCTCTCCGCAACAAGCAAGTAATGCTGCGTTTCAACCCTTACCATTCGACATTTGTCAAGAACGGGCTCGGTCAGCAGAAGAAGGAGTCTGGCAAGCCCCTGAAGACCCCTGAGGCCTTCCTAAATGTCTTGAAGGAGGATTAAGTAAGACCAGCTTGGTGAGCAGCTTGTCTATGGGAAAACGGATAAGATATCGTCGGTTGCGATTATCATGGGCGTAATGGGTTCGTAGGGTCTTATGAATCAATGGAATTGTCATTATGAACGGTTCCCTCCCGTAATTTGGCTTCTTTTCTCGTCCCAATAATATGTGAACTGTTCTTCTACCCAGGATCCAATATGTCGCAAACTTGACTGAGATTCGGGGAATCTTCATTCTACCTGTGCCCCTTTCCTCCCTCGAGGGCGTCAGTACTTGTAGTGTACAACTAATGTTCACCGGCCTACGTTCTACCCACATTCGTCATATCGAACGCGTCGTCAAGTACGCCCTGCCATTCGAGCTCGTATACACCTATTTCCCTTTATGAATGTCGTAGTCCACTCCATCTGGTCGTCATCTGAGCAGGCATTTAGAGCTAACACAGAATATACGACATTGTAGGTATGGCAGAAGGAAAATACTGCAGTCAAGATATCACACAGTCGTTTTATTGACATCGCAACATCTATCATAACATTATTAAAAGGCATGATTTGGTCGCTATCTATTTGTATACTATTTTGCCAGCAGGATGTACATACGAAGTACATATCTATAGAACCTATCTATCACTAATGATAGATTAGCAACCTAACCAGCTTATATTTGTCAGGCCCTCAGCCTCGAAAGCGTCCGTGGCAGCTTCTTCTAGAAGAGCCTCGAGCTCCGCGACCCGCTTGATGCGCCAGAATTTCTGCACGCCTTCGCCGAAGCGCTTCGAGCTGGAGATGATCTTCTCATCTGCCTCAGCGGCGAAGCACAGCCGATAGTAGGCCCAGCCGCGCTGGGCGGCGATCTGTGGTGTTGCGCTAAACATTGTACCCGGCGCCGCGATGACGAGATACGGCTTGTGCGTCAAGAAGATCATGAGGGCAGTTGAAAGCGTCTGGCCATCGACTACTTTGATCCGAGACCCTTTCGCGCCGAATAAGGGGTGGAGTTCAAGGTGAACCTTGAGCCAAATGAACATTCCGCCGCGTGGCCAGTCGAACTCGTACAGCTTAGTCTTTGTAATTACGCCCCAGTCCGAATCAGCGTCGCGTACGGGTGTCGATTGTTTCAATTGATACGCATGTTCCTCAAGAAGACTGCTCATGGTATTCATGCGCCGTTCGTATTCGCCGCGCAAGCCTGCGAGCCACCGTACCCAGCCTTCCATTTTCCAGCCAGTAAAATTTGCGCGATCTCGTGATGACCTCGAGGCAAAAGCTGCTGCTGCCTCGGGTTGGGGTCCCATGATGTTTTCCGCTATGATCGATTGGACGAAACCAGAGGGTTGCTGGGTAGAGGCTTCGCCAACACGAACGTATCGATCGCAAATCTCAGGGGTGCTTGTGACCCAACCGAGACGAC